AGTTGATGATGTGAGGGAAGATGGCTGGAATCAGACTTAGCCTTTTACAGAATATTATATATCGTTTGTGAGATGTTTTTCCTCATTTGTTTCCAGAAGTTGAATGATATATTATTGTTTTGTATCGTATTGATGTACCTTGCAAACTTTAAGTGATATGCGAATTGCATATTCCTCCACATATTTAGTATAAGTGCGTCATCGATCGATCCCGGTATTTACGATATCGACACTGTCACCCCTAACTCTAACCAAATAGCCTATTTTACTCAAACTTTTTAACCCATTTATGTTATAGCTTATATACACTTTTTTGCTGTATATATTGTATATATATTGCTATATATATATATTGTATATATATTGTATATATATATTGTATATATATATATATATATGTTGTATATATATTGTATATATATTGCTGTATATATTGTAGTGGATAATGGTAACATTCTATTTTTAAATAGATGCAGAATTTGCATATTCATTCAGCAGTATTCCATCAAAATTGTTTTCAAATGAAAATAGACAAATCTTAATTTATATGAGAAAAGTAACGATATATGTGTAAATATATTTGCTTAATGCGCTAAAACAATATTATTCATAAACTGTAAAGTTACTGAAATGAAATTGATCACATACTATTACATTATAGTTCCAGGTTTTCTAGGTCGCTACAAAGAAGGAAATCCAAACAGAATATTCAAAACATCATCAAACATGTACACTCTTGGAAACTCCATTACCACAATTCAAGGATGCATCCAGACATGTAGAGACAACTCTAAACCAATAGCAGTACTTGCCAGTGAAGATGAATGTTACTGTGGTGATGACGACACTGATTACCAGCAATACGGTGAAGCTGTACCTGGGGAGACTATCAACGAATATGCATACTACGGTACCCAACAATGTAGTGGAGATAATGGTACTGAACCTTACATACAAGGATGTGGTGGTGAATACCAATTTGATGTCTATGATAGTAAGTTCATTTGCTTTTATTTTTTGTAAGATGAGCACACTGATGGAAACAAAATTAAATTTCCGACAAGAATAACAAATAGACATGTTGCTATTTGACTATCATCTCCTTAGTTTCGTTCTAGATTCCCCAGTTTCCTTTTCTTGTTAAAATTACAGTAAACAATGTACATTACACAAACGTATACTAAAATACAACCAAGTTGAAATTGAGATGCCATACATATCTCACAGAATACACAATTTCAAAATCTTTAATTATCAACTATATCTGTGAGTTATCACTATCTATTATTCAAATTGGAGCATTAGAAAATCACATTTTCCTGCGAAAACATTGAACAGTTATAAACTGAACTGATGGGTATTTAATATTTGTCTCCCGATGTACTGATTATTCATAGAAACACAGCCAATATTAATAAGTGTAACATCGGGAGGGAAAATCTTTATATACCCCGAATTTTACAGTTAATAAATGTATTATCATCTCAAAATCGGGAGGGTACCTGTACATCAGAATGTCTATAGTTTCTGTTGCAAGGACTGCAGACGTGACGTCCAACTATTTGGCACAATAGTCGAGAAAATATCACTATACAAGATATTTATCCTACTAGTATTTTCAATGTATCTCGGTTGTCAAATATTCATATACTGCCTCAAATTCGACCTGGCTGCGTTTTTTTACATGTTCACTTTAAGATCGATTGAAGATGATGCGACATTGTGGTTTTCAGCATCTTTATTTACACTATTGTTTCGACTATTGCAGTAATCGAGTTTACCGAACCTGTCCGTATTTGGACTTTCATCATTTTGCACGTGGAGAACAGTACATTGGTAATAGTGATTATAGCGACGCATATCTGCATACACTATTCACTGTTTAGCATCTTGGTCTTGGTGGTGTTTGGAATAAATAACTCAAAGATTTCGAACACTGTCTCAAAATATAGAACTGGTCAAGTTTCGACTTCACTGTTTACTTAATAATTCGATGACAGTTCTTATGCTGTGATTGCATTGTCATTTGTGTCGTTTTAGATATTTTTATTATAGGACTTTTTTAAAGATTGGATATGTTACTTTCACTTTTCCGAAGATTAGTGTCAGTTTATTCCGAAATTACTCAAATAAATTATTTCACTAATGATTTATCAATCCCATTTATTAAACAAAGAGATCTTAAACTTCCAGATTGCATATATACAAGTTTAATTCAGACCCCCCACTGACAAATTATAAATAGTGTTTAAAGCGCAAATCAAGGAGTCTGCATAATTTAGTGGTTTGACCTACATCATTAACATAACCCAACTCTTGAGACATAATTTATATAAAAAAATCGGTTTAGAAATCAATTTTTAAAGATAATTGTTAATGGTACAATTGAAACAAAGTTATAAGTTGCGTATCTGTTGAAGACAAGTGGAGTGTCAACATTGACAGCTTATTAATATTGATACATTGACAGCTACCATTGGTGCATGTGGAGGACAGTACACTGGTAACACTGGTTATATATATTCCCCAAACTTTCCTGGCAACTATTCAGATGACCAAAATTGTATATGGACGATTACAGTTGAAGACAACCATATAATTCAGCTTAGTATATTGATGTATAAGATAAGTATTGGTGATCATCTGGATATAAGAGATGGTGATGACGTAACGGCACCAAAGATTACATGGAACAGCATGACAGTGTACAG